TTATCGCGTTTATTTTACTTTTAATTACTTTTATTTTTAATTCCCGACGTTGTGACGTGACCATGGGTGCTGGAAAGCGCCCGAAACGTCGGGAATTAAAAATAAAAGTAATATTAAACGCGATAAAATCCGTAAAAGTAGTTTTAATTAATGTGTAGTGTTCGCGTACATATAAGAAATCATTAGTCAAATATTTCATTATTTTCACTATTTCCATAATATTAATTTCACATTCATTTTATGAAACTTAAAATATATCAACACAAATGTTCGTGGAAAAGAAGAAAACAACACACAAATCAAACTCAACATATTTGCTTGCAACTGTAATAATATGTTATCAATTAAGTTTCTTTATTTGTTGCCACGTTTTTTTAAATCATATTCGGAAAGATGAATTAAAATCAATTATTAATTAATTATAAAAATAAATTAATACCATCCGGAACCACAAACAAACAAGAAAGTGGATTATAAACATGTGTCATTCATTCAATCCTAGCGACCCGGACATTTAAGTATTGATTCGAAAGATAATGTGATATTAATGGATTGAGGTATCCGCTCGATAATGTCGGTTGTCAGACATTACATTACTCTTTGATCCTAGGTCCCGTCAATCGTTTGATACGGAACGTTAAAAATATAATTCAAATCAACAATACTTTGACACGACCCGGGTCAAATGAATGAATAAGTTATAAAATTTAAATAAAAATATAATTTCAACTTCCATCATTTATTATTCAAGAAATTATTATATATTAATAATTATATTAATAATTATACTCTCGAAAATGGCATTCCATACATTTTATTATTTACTTTATTGAATTATGTATACAAAAATGCTGAATTCCACGGCGTTTAACATCAATAAAACTAAAAAAAAGATGTCACAATCGCACAAATTTGTATGCAATCAATATTTGTTACAATAGCTACGCAAATTATCTCTTATTTTTATATAACTTTGACTGTGCATTTGTACTATGTGAAATTATTGTATAAAATTCCAATTCTGAGCAATTAAACTGTATTTTCTTATAGATAGGAAATAAGATGTTCCACAAATAATTACATACAAGATTTAAAAAAAAACTGATTTGTCCTCCCAAATTTTTTGGCATAACAAGAATTGAGTTAGGCTTGGGAGACAACCGTAGAAGCGAAACCTTAATTAATGGTCCTAGAGGGAATTACCAATTTCGGCTAAGCGTGGACAAGATGCCCGGTGAAAATAATTTTTATTAAACAACATTATTAATTATGAAAGAAATATTTTTGGATATTACATAGTGGCCAGGTATAAAAAATCTAAATAAAGAGTATTTAAACTGTATCCACCAGTTATAAACATAGACGTATATGAAACATATAGCATAGCCATTTGTTTGACTCAGTGTTACCAGCACGGAAGTAATACATCAATTTCAGTCTGTAATCGATTGGATAAACAATTATGGTAACCAAGAAAACAGTTTGTCCGCAAAACGAGTACAAATAAATACTGTATGAAAAGATTATACTCATTTACTTACATTGCTTTAAAATAAAAGAATATTAAAATATTTTTTTACATTAGATTATCGGTTCTAAAAATCGATTATTGGTCAGATTATTATTTTTTCCTGGCAACTCCTACTGTATCGCTTCGTCAAGTGAAATATCATCTGACATTCTCTTTGCTTTATAGTAGACTAGATTTGACATTTTTGCCCTTTGTTTTGTATTTATATTTCTTAAATTGTGTGTAAAATGTGATTATAAAACATAAGGTTCTTTCTTTCTTTATAATGTGTAAATAAACAGATTATATCAAAATACTATTGGCAAACAATATATTTTAAATAAGTATATGCTTATTACAAAGATTTTATCCGGGATGGTTTCAATTTTTCACATGCCAGTTGAAGCATATTCTTGCATCTTGCTACAACTTTATTATAATATTTGCTTTCCTAAAGATAACTAGTCTTTGATTAATAAAGATCTTGTCCACGCTTAGCCAGGTCACCCTAACAAACTGAGCAATTCCCTTTGAAACCTCAAAAATAAAGATAAAAATATCACGCAGTTCCCGCCAAAATACACACACACACACACACACACACACACACACACACACACACACACACACGCACGCACGCACGCACGCACACACACACACAAAACATTACTATTTCTTGGCAGAATTTAAAAAAATTAAAGTTTTTTTTAAATTAAAAATTAAAAAATATAAAAGTTTTTTTAAATTAAAAAAAAATCTATTAAATTAATTGGTGGGAACTCCATTCACGAATACTGTTACAAAATAAAATAATTATAACAAAAGAAAAACACTTAAAACCGTCATAAACCGTCGTAAAAATCATAACATTCAGACATATTTGGCAAAAGTGCGATCCGTAAAACTGACTGACCATCTGTCACCTAAATTGATCACAACCTATCACGTATAACACAATGCAGGCTTTGTGATGGATTAATGAATTTTATCGTAATCCTACCAGTTGATGGAATTTGGAGCAAAGCACCCTGAGGCTTTTAAAATTATTTAGTATTTTTTTATATTCGACGTACGTAACAGATAATATCGAATTAAACACAAAAAAATATTTTGAAAAGTACGCAAAGCATAAATCACGGCGTAGCAAATGATTTATATAAAGCTATACAAAAGAAATATTTTCAAAGTAAGATTCTAATTTATTTTTATTTATCGATATCGGGTTCTACAATGCGACCTAAAAATTATGCCTACATTGTAGTTGTTGTGAAAGTGTCTCACATTAATTTCCATACGTGGTCGGACATGTTCGGAAATACGAATTTACAGAATTAATCAATTTTCGTCAAAACTTCTATGAAGCAAAAGTAGCCTTAATGTCAATATGGACTGCAAACTCAAATATCGTAGATTCGGAACCGCCACTCAACTATTGTCATGGTCATGAACCATAGTTTAGTTTTATTTAATTTGCATTAGACAACAAATACAATCACCATGATGATTGTGTTTAGAAACTATTATTTTTTATATTTAAAATTTCACGTGCTCTTCATGTGACTTCTATGAATTTTTATGATGAATTATCTATTCCCGATAATAATTTGACTAAGGAAAAATTTCTAAATTTTCCTTAAAATTTCTTTAACCTCTCAAACGCCAAGCGTTCAAATTTGTCCGCTTCGATATTCCGTCAAAATTCAAGAGGTCAAATTTGAAAGCACCCACCAACCTATAAATACTTATGTTTAGAGTCTACTTTTCTCTGAAGAATTGGCATTATAGAATCACTATGAAATTTTCTATCCTCTAGTGGAATAAAAAACAGTTAGTCTATGGATATTAATTTATATTCTACGTTCATTACGTACGCCATTTTCATTTGGATGTTGTTGTGTTGATTTTTGGATTTTTCTAATGTTTTATTAGTGTTTTAATATAGTGTTTTATTATAAAATTGTTATAAAAGTTTATGTGTAAATATAATTTATCTTTTTAAGTAAAAAATTTCGAGTAATATATAGAAATAATTGTGATTTTCACGCTGCCGACATTCGCTTGGTATGTTTTTTTTGTTATCAAAATACAATAAAATCTTTTTATAATGAAGTAAAAGCAGACTTTTGTTTAGACCACAGGATAGAGAATTTTGTATAGATTGCATGGGAATTTTATGGGGATTGAAGGGTTATAGCAAAAGCAGCTCTCTTGTAAAGAGTAGTGGTTCAACTAGGTACTCTTCTTTATTACAGTGGCTGAATGCCCAGAAGACACTACAAATGGAATCGTCATGACTGGGTTTAAAAGGTATTATTTTTCAAATTTTTATATTACGTGCCTTTCAAGTGATTTCTCTGGAATTAATTCTGTGAAATATCTCCAACTTCCTTCGTAGTAATGCATTACCACTTCGATTGTTACGATTATCAGTAACCCTATTACATACCGGGGTATTGGCTTGATTTTCAAGGTCTAGGTCTTTATTCATATCGTAGACTTTCTTTCCATCATGGTTTGAACTTAGGGTAGCTATAGATATATTTGTTACATTTTCTTCGTTATTTTTGGAACAATTTTCTAATTCAACGTTTGCATTGATATCGAGTTTTTTTAAATTGGTTTTGTTTTGTAGTGTATCTCGATTGACGATTTTTTTACTATAAATACGCATAAGACCATGCGATTCTTTATTACTACGATTATAAATACCTATCCTAGAAGCTAAGTTTACATTTGAATTGTTTAGAAAGTCTAGATTAGTATGAGTTGTAGAGGAAACTGCCTTATCATTATTATTCTTATTTCTAAAATTGCTTAATGAACTATTTTGTATTGTGCTTATTCTTAAATTATTTATAGATTCTGTTAAATTATCTAAAGCTGGCCTTCTATTATCTAAGTTGGGTTCTAAACTTGGTTGCCTATTTTTTATGAAATTCCCCTCTTTGTCTTTATTTGATAATAATAAATTATTTACTAGATTACTTTTTACCTCTTTCTGATTAATAAAATCAGCTTCTAATTCAACACAATGTAACTCATTTTTACAATCAAAGGTATTCTTTTTTTCGTTTATATTAAACCCTTTAAATTTATTTGTATTGAATGAATTTTTTTCTCCACAATTCAACGAATTAGAAGTACTTGAAACTACTTTAAAACAACTTACACGTTATTTATCATTGCTATCAACACCTAAAGAGTCTTTACTAAACATTGAATCAACTATTAAACTTTTTTCTAATATATTATTGCTAGTCCTAAACTCAGTTTGATTTATTTCTTTATCTACATCATTTAGCCTGCCTTTTTTACTACTACCTGCTAAAACGTTGCAAACATTATTATATTTATTTTGTTCGTTTCCTATTACACGTCTTTCAGTATATTCGCTATAATGTGCATGAGAATTAATAGAAACATCTCCAAATTCGTTCAACTGCGTGGTCCCTGCCTGCACAGTGTTACGGCCATGTAGGATGTTGCCCGTCTAGGCGAACAGAGCGTTCGGATCTGGGTTGTGTATATCGCAGACGAAATTATCCTGCTCGATTGGTTTCTTCACCCACCTTCCAAGGTTGGCTTTTTCGAACGCCTCCACCAGACATTCTTTAGCTACCTGAAATGTATCGAAGTGTCAACAGGCGAACCCCATATCATCCCTTGAGTGTCGTTAAGAGATATACAAGAAAAACCTTATGGTTTCTGATAGATGACGGTATAATCATCTTGCTTACACCTGTCGTAAAATACTCAGACATGTTTATGTTTGTTTATACGTGGTGAAGCCATGCTACAATAGAATAAATGATATTGTTGTGGCACGAATGGGTTCGCTCGACCGGGACAGGACTACGCTCTCACTGAATACCAGCTTAAAATATGTGTTTCGTATGAGTGTAGAGAACCGGAGACAATTTTTACAGCAAAAAAGGCATTTTCACTGTGTCCTCAGAGGTGACAATACTTTTTTATTAAAAAAAATGTATCAGGGAGCATGTTACGCGAGACTTTTGTTCATGCGTGATAATAATGGCATATCGTCTCTACACCGACCGCAACCGTGAATTAGTAGTGTTAGAATATCCATTACCCCATTTCGTCCCGTGCGTGTTGTGAGAGGCGACAAAGGAAAACTGAACCAAGGTGGGCAGGAGTACTTACTGATAACAACTGAATAAAAATAAAAACCACGGTTGGCAAGTCAACTATGGCAAATGTCAGACAATCTAAAGGAGAGCTATGTTCAAAAGTGGAATTTTTACGGACTTATGGTAATGGTGATCTCTAAACCGAACGAGAATCATATCTAACTCTAAACATTTACGGTCTGGTGAAAAAGTAAGCAAGTAAATCTAAAAATAACCCATTCTGTATTGAATGTAGAATTTTTGAATGCGCTGTTTATTACGTTTGCTAGGTGGCAGCACTTGTCGTCTGCCTGGGAGTCTGTCAGTGTAGATACACTGGATACTTTTTTTTATAGGACAAGGTGACAAACGAGCACACAGACCACCTGATGGTAGGTTGCTGCTGTGGTTCATAGACATCTACATCTATCCTCGATTACGAATCAAAATGCAGATGCGTTGTCACCCGTGAGGCCTAAGATGGAATGCCTCGTTTCCAGTAAAACGGGTCACCGGTTCTCTACACTCAACATACGAAACACAGCAGCATTAAGCTGCTATTTTACGCTGGTATTCTGTGAGAGCGTGCCCCCCCCCCCCGGTGAAGCCGACCCATTCGTGCTACAACAATAATATAGCTGCAGCGTGGCTCTATATAAAAATGATATGGACAGACCAGAATTTTCTTAGACATACTTAAGACTTATAGAGAGCCCATATATATAATCACAGGCTGTAAAACATTTCATCTTGTTTTATTTAACAGAAAACGAACACGCAGTCCAACTGATGGTAAGTAGATACTGTGGGCCATGGACATCTACATCTATTCCTCAAGAATAACAATGCAGATGAGTCACCTCTGAGGACTAAGATGGAATGCCTAGTTTCCAGTGAAAAGGGTATTTGCTATTTAAAGTTGGTATTCATGATACAACCAGCATGGCTCTACTGAAAGGTGACAACGCATCTGTATCCTTTTTGGTTTGAAGTTGCTTGCAGCTATCCATCGGTATCAGTAGCCACTTACTATCAAATTGACTGTTAGCTTGTGTGCCTACTAGTTTATCATCCGGCAAAAGTTCAAAGGGTTCCTTCCATTGAAGGGAGGTTGTACCTCAATCGTCACACTAGGTGGACTGATTAACGATTTCAGTACCACCTTTAATAAATAATAAAATAATTTATTTTTTACACAAAATTTAAATTAATTACATAATTGATTAGGCTCTCCATTTAAGCAAGCAATGCCTGTGTTTGGAAACCCCGTTCTTCCTTATCTAAACATACATAAAACTAATTACTCTATTTTAACACGGCTCTATATATATATATATATATATATATATATATATATATATATATATATATATATATATATATATGTAACATGTAACATAATTAACGCACTTTGAAAAAGTAGTTTGTTCAGAATCGTTTACTGAATCGATTCCTATCATTTTTAACATAGGTAATTTTTTTCCCCAAAAATAATTAAAACTATGTAAATTACAGTCACACCAAAATTTGTACAGTCAAAACAAACTGAAATGGACCGTAACTTAATTTTAAAAAAAAATAAAATAAATTATTAAAGTAGGTAATGGTTTTGTGATTAAACAATTATTTATTAGAATTGTTTAAATAGTTTTAAAAATAATTATTTTATTATATTTGAGGGGGTGTAGTTATTTTTTTTTATTATATAAAAACACAAATATATATATGGCGGGGTGGTGGTTACGGTGGGTTAAAAAAAAAAAAGAAAGAATCCCGGACCATGATTGAGTATTTGTGAGTTCTTTTAAAACTATGTTTTTTTTTTTTAATTTTTTTCTTAAACAAAAGAAGACTATTACTCCTTATAACATCAGCTATCTGCCAGTGAAAGAATCGTCGAAATCAGTTCAGCCACTTCGGAGATTAGCCGGAACAAACAGACAGACCGATAAACAAAATTTTTTAAATTGTTTATTTTTTGTAATAAGTACCGTATATCCGTTCATAAACATTTAATAAAAAGCTGTTATATTTAAATTATTTTATTTATTTCTATAGATTAGGAAGACGGCCCATCTCCAGATTTGTTTCCGTCCGTCGCCTCTTACGACACCTACGGGATAATATGAAGTAGTGGATATTTTTACAAAGCCTCTACACGGAACAATCGGAATTTTTTATAAAGGGATAATTTCCTATAACTTGACACTGGCAAAAATGCAGGTGTCCGAGTCCATTACCAAAAATTTTAGGTGCATAAGTGTGCGTGTTCTAACACTAAATTGAACACAGCTCCACGTCACTAGTAATTTACGAAGACAAAATCATCACCTGATAAGTGGTGCAGAGTTGTTTGGCCTCGTTGTATGGCAGATTCTCCAAGTCTAGCGGCTCCGATTTGTTATCTACACATGTTTCCGTTTCCTGAAAGGTAATATATTAGAATATAATAGATAGCTATATATGTTGGACTTATTTAATAATTTATTTATTCATAGAACAACAGCAGTGCACACATCATTATTATTGAAAATAGACTTATTCTAGGGACTAATGTGTGCATTCTTATAGGTGACACAGAATTACAAAATACATCAAAAATTAAGACAGCAAAGTTACAATGGCTTATATGTCGTATAAAATAATATCTAAAGCAATAAAAGCACGCACATAACGAAGCGGCAGCAGTCAGCAGCATGGATATTTGATTATAATTAAATCATTCAAAAATCATTTATAATAGTGATAAATATTCCTTTATTAATAATCCTATTTTTAGGGAAAGTTTCATGAAAAATATCGACAGTAGGCAACACACCAGAGAGTGAATTATAGGTGTCACACATTTACGGTACTGGGGTGATATGATCCCATGTTAGTCCTGGATTGAGGAGTGTGTAAAAGTTTTGTTGTTGGATGACGAGGGATATTGTATGGTACATTTAGGAAGTTTAATATTGTAGTAGTTCACAGCGGACGTACTGCCCGTTTACTATTTTATATAATAGCAGCAGGTCGTGAATTTTTCTCCTGGCCTCTAGAGAAGATATTAAAAAAAATACCAATCGCTATTCGTAGGGACACCTATGTGAAATTCCACTACATATTGTGACGGCCCAATATTATCATTAATAATTAAATTCAATATAAAGGGGCATCAAAAATAGTCTTAAAAAATATATATATATATATATATATTAAGCAATAAAATTACATTAATAATCATAAAGTTAATATAAATACATTTCAGACATTAGATAATAACATAGTAAATTAAAGGCAAAAATATTGTCTTCCATAATAAATAAATTTATTATAAAAACTTGTAAAAATATTTAAAACATGATAAACAATAGAAATACAAGTCGAAAATATTATAAATTTATTAAATATTATAAAAATAAAGATAAATAACGTTTATAAGATAATTAGAAAATTTGTTAAAAATTGTCCAAGTTATGGAAGGTGTTCATGTATAGATGTCTTGTATGGAGGAGCTGCCGGAGATACATACCTGCAGTTGTACATATATATGGGGGTGGTCGGGAGCCCGACTGCTTGAAGTACTGAAGCACAATGACTAGTCCTATATTAGGGACTTATGATAATAAACTCAATGATACAAAAGCAATACTATAGAAGGTCTCTATGATGAATTTGCATTACAATAGTGGGGTGGTGGGTTGAAGTCCTATATATTAATGACTTATGAAAGTAAGGTCTATGATACAAAAGCAATACTATAGAAGGTCTTTAAGATGAATTTGCATTACAATAGTGGGGTCGTGGGTTCGAGTCCTATATATGAATGACTTATGAAAGTAAGGTCTATGATACAAAAGCATTACTATAGAAGGTCTCTATGATGAAATAGCATTACAATAGTAGAATCGTAGGCTGAAGTCCTACATATTAATGACTTATGAAAGTAAGGTCTATGATACAAAAGCATTATTATAGAATGTCTCCTTGATGCATAAGCATTATATGGGGTGGTCGGGTGACCGACTGCTCTTAGTACTGTAGCAAAATGACTAGTCCTTATTAGGGACTTGAAAAAGGATTATTATGGTGGCGTGTGTGCTGCTTCACGAGCAATTGGTCCGAGGTAAACTTGGACTCGCTACCCGATGTGTCCTAGACATATCTCTTAGTGCCGGTGGTAAGCGGGTTTGTTGTAGCAATACGGCTTTCCCGTGGACATCGCATACCCATACCGTTTGTGGGCGGCGTCGTAGCGCATACCGATGCGTCGTCCATCTTTCGGATTGGGATGAGTGTGTTTGGTAGCACTTTTAAGTGTAACAGGTCTACTCAACTTCATGTCTAGCATTAGCGCTATGATACGTCGAGTTTTGTTCACTGGCGTCTTAGTAGCGTGCTACTATGATACGTTGGTGATATTTTTTAGTTAACAACAATACAAAGTTTGTTACCAAAGTCGATAGGGATCATGTAGGTGTGTTGTGAGGGGGCGCCATCCGTATGATAGTTGCATTGATGCTTACTGCTTCTTGCGGTATTGCGTCTTGTGATGGATCTGCGGGTGTGCTGCGCCTGATTCGACGCATTCTTGTGGTTCTGGTTGATGAAGGTATGCGGGTGGTGATGTATGCTGGGATGTATGGGGGACCTTGGGATGGTGTAAGCCCGACGATAGTCGTATTGATGCTTGTTGCGTTCTGCAGCATTGCGTCTCTGCGATGGTTGTTTGGTGGGACGCTATTCTCAATGGCGCTCTTTGCGTCTTGGTTTGACTCACACCTAAGTAGCTTTGCCCAAGTCGGGTCCCTTCGTTACGGGGCTGCAGACTGTCTGCCCTCCACGATGTTTTATATAACAACATAATAATATATCTCTGTAACTTTCCCACCTTTGAATGATTGAAGGCAACTTGTTAGTGGGTGAGGTAAACATGATCGAAAATGCATTTACTCAACGTCAGTTACACAAACCCTTTCTGATGGCGAATTATTATTCTTATCTTTAACAGCCTTTTGGCTATATCTGCCGTCGTATTGGTTGGTGGAGCGTATGTGTCGACCTCATGCGGGTGGTAGCTGGCGGGAGGATCTGAGGAGACTCTCAAGGCTGCGGCCGAAAGCCGCACAACGTGGGACCCCATTCCCTTGAGGTGAGCGGTAGACTCATGACACGCTCTGCGGCTAGTAGCCGTGCTGATCATGCAACTGGTGGTGATACCATACACTTACATCACGTCTGCAGGAGCGGCGGTCACGGAGGGTTTACGGCCAGAGTGCCTATTTGCCTAAACCGTGTGACGTACAGTCACTGTGGCTGGATTCGTTCGTATTCTGTATGGCGTTTACACGCATTGACATGTGCGACTTCGGTCGATGTTTGTGCTTACGCACTAACAAGGGGCCAAGCCTCTTTTACTGGTTCGCCAGTTATTTTGCTGTGGACTACGGTCCAGTTCCCGAATTAACGTTCCCTTCGGAGGGAGTGCATCAAAATGGTTGGCGCTCACCGCGCACGGCGTGTGTGGAGCCGTGTGCCTCCCCTACATTTTTTTAAATAAATGTAGGAGAGCGAAGCCTTTGTATCGGGTATTTTGTATAAATATATTGTGAGCCTTTTCCGAGCGGGAAGGGATAATTAATAATAAATTAATAATGTAAACCTGATACAAGTGGAATAGGAACGTTTTATCTTCTTAACCTTTCTCGAGCCCTGTCTTCGTGAACGGGGTTCACTTAGCTTATAAGGCACTACCAACAGCTTTCAATTGCTCTAGTGAATATTCATTCTTCCAAAAGATACTTAAAAGAACTAAGTTACTAAACAAACACAACGTGAATAAGGGTCCTAACTAAGACGATCACGCCAAAAATACGAACGAAAAAACGGCCTATTATTAAACCTTTTGAAAGATCATTTAGAAAGATCAAAACATATTTTATTAATCCTGGTCATATATATATATAATTAATATCATACATATTTATTATTATGAAAGGGGGGAGCGTTACAATATGAAGGCAAGATGTCTTGTAAAGGCTCTCTGAATATCTTCTATTCATTGCGAGCGCACTGCGTATGTTGGGTTCCCTATTGTACTCGCACATTCCAGTTGGCTCCTTACTAGGGTGTTAAAGAGAAAGATTTTAGTGTTTATTTGAAAACCTCTGGTATTGCATTTAATGAAACCCAGCATCTGCGCAGCTTTCTTTACAATCCTATTAATATGAGGAACGTAGGTGAGCTTCATTTCCAACATAACACCTAAATATCCCATTTCACCTACTTCTGTTACTTATTAAAATTGATATAGAAACATTTTTTGGGATTCAACGTCATATGATTTGCCTTACGCCATTCCACTAGTCTCTCAAGATTGTCCTGTAGGAGTAATGAGTCCAAATAAGCTGATATGACTCTCTAGAGCTTGTCTGCAAACAACGAAACGCAGCTTGCCTTTAGCGTACTCGTGAAATCATTTATGAAGGCGAGAGCAATATTGGTCCCGGATGGGAACCCTGAGGTACACCAAATTCTATTTTTCTATTCATAAGCTCCTACCGCCGCCAACTGTATACTTGCCTTCTCTTATCTGTGAGCGAGTAAGCTGCGCTGCCCCAATACGTGCTTACCCTGTTCCGTTGCTACACTCACTTCATCATAAAACAAATCATCATCATTACAGCCTTTCACAAGTCCACTCTTGAACATACGTCCCCTTCAATGAATGCCACAAAGCACGGTCCCAAGCCACCTGCATCCATTGACTTCCCCAATTTTTTACCAGGTCGTCATTCCAACTAGTGGGGTTTGCTTACCACAATACGAGCCTGTCACTTGAGATCCTCTTTCTCAGTCGGTTTATCGATCTATATGTCTGTTCCAGAGCTACTTCAGAAAATAGGCTTATAGGTTAAACACTAATTAAAAATTATAAAATCTTCCAATTCTTAAAGCTGCGGGTGCCTAATAATTACGTGAGTTCTCGTCGTCGTCCCCCATTACTCCTCGTGCCCGCTGCTAGGACGAAGTTGCTTCAGAATGCACCATTGTCACGTGCTATACACTATGTTAATATCATCTCTATTGACATATTTGCATGTAGTGAGATGAAATTCATAATTGCAGCATACAAATGCGTTGATAATTGTAATGTTTTTAATTAGTATTTTCTTTTACCGTCAATTTGATAGATTTCATACTAAATATCATTATTTTTTTAGTAGCAGTTTTCTTATATTTAGGTTAGTTATAGCATCGCATTGGTTTAATAACTGAAATGATGTTATAATTGTGTAATAAATAATAAATAAATAAATCACATCTCGACCACTTTTGAACGCTTTGTAGATTTGTAACATTCATAAGCACGTGTGTTTGATAAAGTCGATTCACCATAAGCCTTATGTAACATTTTCAGTGACTCATTTGCGATGTAAAATTTAAGACGAACTCTTTGTCCGATGTTCTTGTCCATTGTGAAATTCGCAATACACACTAGATTTGATATAACTAAAAACAGCACACATTGAATACATTAATTTAAATAACATATGTAACTCAACCTCCGCGCCAAAATGGAAAACAAATGTGCTAATCTAACAGCATCAAAAAAAAAATTAATTTCGTACCATAAACAAATCATCCATTCCCGATACTTTTTTGACTAAATGTACATTTCTTCTTAGGCACTCGAGTAAAGACGCTCCTTCTTGGAGTCTCAAGTATAGACTACGCTCCTTCTGGAGCACTCGGGTAAAACCATTACCCTCCATCTGGGAGAGTCGGGTAAAAACCTTCAAAATAAAATAAAAAAACGACGAGTTGCACTCCGGGAGTGCCGGCAGAAGTGAAAACTTGAATATTAACGTTGTGCATTTTTGATATTTTGGAATGATTAGGGAATAATTTTGCACGAATTGCTTTAATTATCACACACGAACATTCGCGCAAGCGTCCTGCGCCGCCTAAACGAAACAGCAGGCGCAGGCATACATTAACGCCGCGCCGTAGAACGAGAGGGGATACTTCCTCTCCTAAGCCGCGCCAGCTGTCTCTCTCTCTCTCTCTCCATCCGACTTACGAATTTTCGATCAGGGTCACGTGTCCTGACGCGAGTTTAACATTTTTTACCCATTACAAAAAAAAAGTGTAAAACGGCGCCAAAGAAGTTTTCACTTCAAAAATCAGAAAATAAACACCTACCTGAGGTAATAGTGGGAGTCTGGTGACCAAGTATTGCCACCTCGCGAACATGCTCTGCTTGCACAGCAGCGACGGCTGACCATTCTCCAGCTTGCCCGTGGTCGCGTTCACTATCTCCGGCACCTGGTCATAGATCGTTAGAGCCACATCTCCAGTTTAATTATCAATTACTTACAGTACTCTACTGAACTAGGGCTGGACGACTATCCCATAGATTGCCTCATAGTGCCATATTTGTAATAGATGCCACCCTTGGTAGACTTTATATAGCAGTTATGTTTATTTATAATGATTTCTTAAATTTACGCCAACACTACACATTGAATAAAACTATATTTACGGATTTTATCGCGTTTAATTAACTACTTTAACGTATTTTTAAATTCCCGACGTCTCTGGTGCTTTACAGCGACCATAGTGACGGGAGGGGGGACTGAGATGTTTGACGTCCCAATGTCATAGTTAGCCTTCAGTTATAGGAACCCAAGCAGATGGCAGCACCACACAGACTTCCTTTGAACATGTTCAACATCGTCCCCACCATTACATTAGGTTTGATAAACCACAAATCCTCGCAAAGAAACACCGATTCCTACCAAGGATGATACTCGAGGCAATTGAAATTAAAAAAACATCCTAATTTCAATAGAGAAGATGGATGGGTAGTATGTAGTTAATTAAACGCGATAAAACCCGTAAATATAGTTTTATTCAAGTTGTATTTGTTTATTATTACTTTCAAGCTGTTATTTGGAAGAAGCCGATGCTCATCTTTTGTTTGGGTGACCCTCTGCCGCCTCTTACGACAACCATGAGATGAAATTATGCAAATTGTATTACGTCATCTCCCTACACGACACTCATCTCATCTCATTATCAAAATGCTCTAGATAAAAATTACGAAATGTTATTTAAAATTTGCAAAATTATTCCTATAGATATGAAAGTCATAGCTATCATCAAATTAGAACAGCATGGTATAGTAACTTTTAAGAAACCTAAGACATTTATCCCCTCGTCTGTACAAACGCCATATTCTGGCGTCCCAAATAATATGCGCATGTGTCAAACGCCATGATATGGCGTCGAGTGATAGCAAACTATTCGTAACATATATATATATATATATATATATATATATATATATATATATATATATATATATATCTGTTATGCATAATCTGATAGCTTATTTAATAACGTTTCCATTGATATATGATTTCAGTATACTTACTTAGTATATATATAACATATATACTTAGTATATTATAACTAAGTACTTCGGAAAGTGCTCGACAGATGCACCATATTGGCCAAAATGACCCCGACATTCGAGTGGATATAATGCCCAAGCGCCAAATCACAAATAGGAGACAATATCTCATACGTAGGGTTGAAAATTACATTTTCCCCGAAATCTTAACTCAAATCACAACAGCTCAAAAAGTCCATGGCTGTACATTGGCCCCACATATAGCCTCATGAGGGGATTTGTCAGTTATCTTGCTTGGCAGACGGGTCGGCGGGTTTATATGTGGTAGAGCCACGCTGCATCTATATTATGGTTGTAGCACGAATGGGTCGGCTCGACCGGAGGAGGACCACGCTCTCACAGAATACCAGCGTAAAATAACAGCTTAATACTGCTGTGTTTCATACGGTGAGTGTAGAGATCTAGAAATCCTTTTTTACTGGAAACGAGGCAATCCATCTTAGCCCTCAGGGGTGACAACGCATCTGCGTTTTGCTTCTTAATCTAGGATAAGTGTAGATGTCTGCCTTATACTATAAAAAAAAGAAACACTTTTAGTTGTTATCAGGAAAATGCTGCTACCCATCTCTTGTTTCAGTTTATCTCAGTTGCCTCTTACTAAACTCAGGGGATGATATAGGGTTTGCTATGTGTGGCGACATAACAATACCCCACGGATGGGCATAGACCTTTCTCATAGTAGGGACAAACTGCCGTAATCCCTACACTATACAGGTTGAAAGACTATGACAGTACCACACATGATTGATACTGTTACGAGCTCGGATTCGTGACAGTAAAAACTGCCGATTGAATTACCAAAATTGACACTTTAATTACAGAATAGCAACTACAACTTAAAACATACTAATAATAAAACACAATTGTACTACTGATCACTTTAGTTCGCTGTTTAATCGCTTCGAAGTAATCGCTTGTATCCCTAATTTAATACTGACTCGGTCGCGGTCTTAACCGGCCTTATATAGGGCCTCTTCTACTGAAAAATCTGGAATGTTCGAGTACATGTCGGTCCCGACTGACTAGATTGTAGAAAATTCTAGCATAGAAATTTCTCGACTCTCCTAGTTCTGCTACTTGATACCAGATGGCGCTAGTGGTAACTCGCCACGTGCCAGGCATTAATTATGGCGCGCAACAATATTAACCTCTGGGAGTTAGGTGATCTCTTCTAAGCCGTTTATTAAGTATAAGTAGTTGTACAACCTGTGTTATTTATTATATAATGCTACTTTAGAAAAAGTCTTGCTGGGTTTCATTCCGGATCTTCCCAGGACAATGGTTTTTTCGAACTATCGGTAGAAGTAAAAAATTCAATAACAGTTATTTATTACATACTCAACACGTCTGGAAATTTTAGTCTATTTTATAGAGTAAGAGTGACAAACAAGCACACAGTCCACCTGATAGAAAGTGGATGCTATGGTCCAAAGAAGTCTACATCTATCGTGTATTGAGAATTAAAATGCAGAATGCGTTGTCATCCATGAGGATTAAGATGGAATGCCTAGTTTCTAGTAAAAAGAGTCTTTGTACCATACGTAATACAGCAGCACTATCTATGCTGCTATTTTGCGCTGGTCCTTTCCCGGTCGATCCGACCCATTCGTGCTTCAACTATAATATAGTTGTAGCATGGCTCTACCCCGTAAAAAGCCTGTAAATACAGTATAGGAGTGCCCATCGGTCTGTAAATATACTGGCTGTCTATACCATTTACACCGGAACAGAGAAACAGACGGATTCTTAAGTGAAAAAGGCATCCGTATCACCTAGGCCTTTGGCAGAATTTTCAATCTATCTTAATCTTTTTCAATCGTAACGCTTTCAAACATCAGTGATGGTTGACACTGACCCAATGAAAGCTGAAAACAGTACAAACCCAAACGTGTTTTGGAGTACCTAACAATATTTAGACGTTTAGTTCCTGACACCTCTACGACTGGATAGAGAGATGCATTTTGCGAGGCGGCTGGCACTATTAGTTAATACTAGTAAATATTAACTAATAGGGAAGACATATATTGATAGCCTATGTAAAAAGTTAGATAAATTTGTCTTTGTTTTATATCGGTTAAGACGAGTGGCTAACATGGAGGCCGCACTCTCTGCCTATCATGGATATGTTTCTTCGATCCTACGTTACGGCTTAATTATATGGGGTAATTCTGTCGATTTCATTAGAGCTTTTCGTGGACAGAAAAAATGTGTAAGGTCTTTATGCGGAGCACACCAATTAGATAGTTGTATTCCCCTTTTTCGCAAACATAAAATATTGCCGCTTCTAGCATTATAAGTTTACGAAATCTATATCTTTGTTCACAAAAATAGTAATTTATTTGAAAAACACAACGATGTTGTAATTAGGACTAGTAGAAATATACATAAATTGTGTGTACCAAAGCAAAGAATACAACTCTATTCAAAAAATGTATATTGTATGGCAATACATGTTTACAACAAATTGCCTGTTTGTTTCAAAAAGATGAATATAGGAATCTTTAAAAGTAAATTATTTCAATTTCTTTTAAATAAATGTTATTACTCAATAAATGACTTCTTAAATGATAAATTTGACTCGAATTGTATTTATTGAATTGCTGAATTTAATTTTTTTTTAAATTTTTTAACTAAAAATATTATGAATTAATTGATGATTGTTTTATATAGATTTAGTTTCCATAAGTATTGCGGCAAGTATCTTTATACTATATAATAATTAATGTCTTAGTTTTCTATTTTATTCGAAAAATTATTTATCTGAAAATATTTGTACACTGGAAACGGCAGAATATTTAGGATCGAAATTCTTCTGTAACAACAGTAATGTACCATATTCTGACAAATAAAGCATCTTATCTTATCTTATCTTATAAAACAAGACGCTCAGCTGTATGTGTTTCTTGTATTTTTAACTTCCCGCTATGAAGATCAATGATTTTCAAAAGGGGAAGTTATTTACACCCCGGTTTATGAACATCGAGTTCTCATCAGATCTCGACGATTCTGGCTATTTTGCGATGATTTCAGTATATCTGTATGTATGTATGTAGAGAGTGAAAGCGTGATGCTACCACGCTCTCACTAAATACCAGCGTAAAACAGCATAGCATTGAATTCATTTTATGTTTGTATGATTAGTGTAGATAACCGGAGATCCTTTTTACTGGAAACGAGGCATTCCATCTTAGTCCGTCCTCACAGGTGACAACGCATCTGTATTTAGTTTCTTAATCGAGGATAGATGTAGATATCTATGCGCGACAGCATCACCACTTACCATCACGTGGACTGTGTGTTCGTTTGTCATCCAATCTTATTTAAAAAAAAAACTATATTAGTCTCAGAAGTGACAACACACCTGTATTCCTTTCCATTTGAAGATTATTCCAGGTGTTCATAGGCTGCAGTAGCCACCTTTGTAATAAAAAAACAACGGTGCCAGGAACCCACCGAGGAGGGCAGGCTATAATTACAGGCATAAAGGCATTTCATCTTAGTCTCACACATGACAACACATTTGTAGCTTTCTCTAAAGATGGTTGCAGGTATCCCATCCATGAGCGGCAGTAGCCAGTCCTGTAATAATAAAACGATCCCAGGGACTCACCGGGGAGGTGCAGCTCCAGCAAACGCTGAAAGATGGCGCCCTGGCCGGGGTACGCGCTTCTGTGCTGGCAGCGCGCGCCAGCATCGGTCTTTGCAGCCGGAACGGAGGAGGAAGAGATGAGATGTAGTTCTCAATCCGGCCGCATATTGCTCTGGAGAAGGAAGTTATACCAGGCTATAAGTGTCGTGAAGAAAGCAACGCACGCACGCACGCACGCACGCACGCACGCACACGCGCACACGCGCACACGCGCACACGCGCACACGCGCACACGCGCACACGCACACACGCACACGCGCACACGCACATACACACACGCGCACACACGCACACGCGCACACGCACAAGCACACACACACACCGTTATCGTTACAGCCGATTAAGGTCCACCGCTGAACATAGGCCTCCCTCACAGATTGCCTCACAGTGGGAATATTTGCTATAGCTGCAATAGTAGTAGTAGTATTTGCCAAGCGCCTTGGCAACCGCAGTTTTAACTTTTAGTCCATATCAGGAAGACGCTGCTGCCCAGCTCCTGATCTGTTCCCCTCTGTCGTCTCTAACGACACCCACGGGATGACATGGGGTAGTCGATATTCTTACATATCTACTACACTCATATACACAATACTTATATACTTGGTGGTATCATTTTCTTCATGCATAACTGAGATATATTTCCAGATTGTTGATGGCTAACTTTAAACCCAACGATAGCATGCTACGAAAATTTATCGCCCCCGACCTCATTTAGGGGATGAAGCAAGGAAATCTATCCCCTCCACCTCATTCCTGGGTGTCGTAAAAGGCGACGAAGGTAATACCGGAAGATCTTAGGGCTAATCAGGAATATTTAATTAACAAACCGTATGAACCGATGATTATATACAGATGTACTAACAAGTCGGCCAAACTAGGGTAGGACAACGCGGTCACAGAATACCAGCGTAAAATGCTAACTCACCATACGAAACAGTAGCTTAATGCTGCTGTTTCGTATGGTGAGTGTATAGAACCTGAGACCTTTTTTACTGGAAACGAAGCATTCCGTTTTAGTCCTCTCAGAAGTCGCACCTGCATTTTGATTCTTAATCAAGGATATTGTAAATTTCTATGGGCCACATTATCCACTTACCATGAGGTGGACAGTTCGCCAGTTGGTCACCCTTTTTTCTTTAAACACAAAAAATCGTGACGAAGTGTTTAAGATTAACTATTTACTCGCGAGAATTAATAATTTTTACAACTTTATTGAGAACTGTCGGCCTATGATTGGGTGCCAAAAATAACAAGACGAAAAGTATTCAAGCAATTTAAGATCCTAAAGTTATATGCATTCATTGCCATAATTTACCATAGCAGAAACAGAAACTTTTTTTTCAATAAAGATTATGCTCGTAAATAATAATTATTTAAAGACATTTTTTTATTTACCACTTGTTCAGAAATAAACTACTGTCCTGGGAAGTACAAGCAAGAGGCCCAGCGGAATTTAAAAAAAAATTGTTTGACCCTGCAGGCCATCCGTGGAACTTCCCGCTAATTTCAAATGCAAAGCGCTCCAAATTTCACCCAACTATGACGTTGAATATCTATATATAATCGGAGTAATTTAAAAAAAAAACAATTTTTTAAAAATTTGTCGTTAACGCTATCCCACGAACGAATCAACCGATTTTGACCGGACTGGCGGCGATCGACGTGGTTTTTCAAGATTAAAAAGCTGATTAATTTTTGGAATCGATCGATAAAGCCGTTTAAAATTTATTCCAAAAAACACTTTTTCAAAATGTTTAATTTTGAGATTTCTCAAAATCTACCGGTCCGAATTAGTTAAAATAGGAAATCTAAGTTTGACGTAACACTTCGGAAATCCGCTTAGTTTATCATCACCATCATATATCATTACATCGTCATCCGTCCATCGAAGGGCCACTGTTGAACCTAGGCCTCCCCCGTAGATTACGTCATAAAGGAATATTTGTTTTAACTGCCACGCTTCGTAGTCGAGTTGGTAACCGCAGTTTTTTTTTAATTTGTTATCACGAAGTTGCTGTCCCTTTCCTGTACATTTCCCACCGTCGCGTCGCCTCTTCGTCACCAACTTGATATAAACTAGTGGATTCTATAACGCCGGCACCACACTGTTAATACGTTGGTGTTATATTTTACCATAGAATACTATAATACATACATAATAGAACGGGGGAGTGGGCGGAGCCCGTGTAGCCGTGCCGACTAACGTATCACTAACACGTCAATTCACACATATAAATGTCAACACAATCAATCGTTTCCAATTTTCGTGTCAAGCGTCGCTGCATGTAAGTTATTTAAAAAATTACAAATTATGCAATAATTACGTGACGAAAGAACAACGGGAAATGGAATTTAAATAAAGGAGGACAACCTAATAAATATCCTATTGTTGGGCACGTGTTTCTTCTCATTTTAGAATGGAAAAGACGTAATTAGTTCGCCACGCCCCAGTACTCAAAATACGTTTTCTCGACATACCATTTTCTTTCACCACCGAGAAAGTGATAATTTAGCACTTATAATTGCAATAATTAACAAATTCATTGGTACCAGTGGGGATATTCTACAACCGCTAAGTCGAAACTATTTATATTTTGTGAATATTAGAAACAAAAATAAAGAATCATTTATGTGTCAAAAACATTAATCAAAAGTCTAAAATGTGTTTGTAGTAGTGATAACTGATAATACGACGTAATTGTTTGTATGTGTGCTCCCGGCGACGTCAATCCTCCTACAAAGAAAAGTTGACAGCCATTCTTCTATTGTGTATTATAGTATTCTATGTATTTTACTATCTCCCACCCACAAAATACATGTATTTGCAAAGCAACATTTCACGTAAAGCCGCATGTTGACGCAACCGATGTTACATTCTGACGCGTAACTTCTGCAATTTCGCGCGCTTTTCACGACCACCATTGATTTTTAATCTAAAGTTTTTCTTTTTTTTTAAGTTTTGTACATATTTTAAATATAATTATTTAATAGTGATAGTAGATTTTTTTAATATTAAAATTTATCAACGAAAAATGCAAGCGTCGTTGCCCCTCGCCTGTTTTCTATCGATAATACGTAAGTAATATTGTTATTAATTCAACCCTTTCCCCTTTCTATGAATTATATATGAACATTTCGATTGTTTAACTATTAATAAAAATATTGTGTTTAACTACTGTGTAAAATAGCAGCTTCATACTGTTGTGTTTCGTATGTTGAGTGTAGAGAACCGGAGACCCTTTTAACGAAGCATTCCATCTCAGTCCTCACGAGTGGCAATGCATTTACATTTTGATTATTAATTGAAGATACATGTAGATGTCTATGGGCCACAGCATCCACTTACCCTCAGGTGGACTGTTTGTTACTTTGTCACCCGTATTCTATACAAAAAAAGTGTGTGTTTCGCGGACTGGGAAACTGTTAAAATTGTATTATTTATTTATTTAAAGACAAATTTACTTAAAAAAACATTTTGTTGCAAAAACATCGAACATATTGCAGACTTAATATCTTAAGGAATTCTAGGTTCAATGTCTAGACTAAGTTGATATAAACATAACTTAGTACTGTATAGCAAAAAAAAAAACTAAAAATGAAGAAAAGCTAAAGGAGTATTTGTGCGTTATTTTGATCTCATTCATAATCGTATTTGAATTTAAATTAAAAAAATCTAAAAAGGGGGTTAGTTTTGTATTATAAATTCAATAAATATATGTTCGTCTAAGATGCATTATACGTGGTAGAGCCACGTTGCAGCTATATTATGGTTGTAGCACGAATGGGTCGGCTCGACCGGGGCAGGACCACGCTCTCACAGAATACCAGCGTCAAATAGCAGCTTAATACTGCTGTGTTTCGTATGGTGAGTGTAGAGATGCGGTGAACTTTTTTTAGGTACTGGAAACGAGGCATTCCTTCGTTGTCCTCAGGGGTGACAACGCATTTGCATTTTGATTCTTAATCGAGGATAAATGTAGATGTCTATGGGCCACAGCATCCACTTACCATCAAGTGTGTGCTCGTTTGTCAACCTTATTCTATAAAAAAAAACAATCGTTTTTGATACTATTAGATATAGTTTAATTCTATAAAATATAATAAATGTAGAAATCTACTTAATTTATTGTCAGAATATCCTTTAATTAGGCACTTTATTTTTTACAGAAAAAAGGGTGTAATCTCATCCATATAAATATCCACTACCCCATATCGTGTGAGTGTCATAAAAGCGACAGAGGGAAACCGTGAAACCTGGCAACTTTGGGATTTTTGAGGACTTAAAAATTTAAGACCAATTTTGCAACATATTGTACTCTCAGATCTTAATCTCTCAGGTCTTAATGTTAAATGTGACACTATGTCCTTCATATATTTGATACTTATTAGTGATTTAAAAATACTAACATTAAATAGACAACATACTCAAAAATAGAAATTAGCAAAGTCAACCTAACTTTTTGGCAACTTTGCCATCGGGGTTTTTAATGAAAATAATAGGATTAAATTCCAAGGATGAAGGTAAGTTTAGCCACATAATATAATATACAACACTCAGACCTATGACTTGTTCCTCTAATTATAGCTCAAGTAATAAAATATACGCTATTGGCAAAGTTGCCCGACCATTATTCAATTTTCGATACAAACTTGAGAATGTGTTAGGGTTGCCAAAAATTCCTTATAATAGTTCATTTGGTAAAATCGGTCTAATAAAGCAGCTACGGTGAAACATCTATATAAACATACATTAATAGAATGTCAGATATAGAATTTCTTTCTTCTTTTTATTTTCTTTGCATGGACGTAATCGGTTAAAAATATAGCTTGAAAGTGACAACCTTCGGTTGTAGTAAAACATGATAAAGTAACTGTCACATCGTGCCGTCATTAGTATGGTAACTTTGCCAAGTAAGTTTTATAGATAAATATTAAGATCACCACATTATAATTTTAAAAACAATATTACATTTTCTAAATATTAATATTACCTTATTACAAATATATAGATACCTACATTCAGTATTTCAAACAAAATCAACAAAGTTCTGGAGCACTGAAAACAAAGAGGTTAAGGCGTCGACACAATTTCGCCATAAAATAAAATGTCAA